AAAGACACATAGTGCTTTGTATAATTTAAGGGAACTAATGGTTTCTTTCGAATGTCATTAGTCTGTACCTCCTCTGGGAGGGGCCATTCATCATCCACCTGTGGCCTTACTCCCAAGTCGACCCCTGTTCTTTAGCTGTTCCCTTCGTCTGGCAACTCTGTGCATGCGCACACTGTGAACAGGCTTCAGCTGTTTGTCTGCCTCACTAATGTCTGACTGTGAAGGCAGCTGATAACTGGCATATGGCTCTGCCCCCTCTCTGCCTCAGACACAGAGCCCTCATCAGAGCCTTTCCCAGACTCCAGGACTGGCCCATGTTCCTCCCCAACCTCTTCACAGTCTGAATCTACTGCGAGCTCCACTGGCTGCTGGTGGGCTACAACAGATGCATCACGCGCAGGCCACATCCACCCCATCTCCGCGAATGGGAAAAATATCATAAAACATCACATGGCATCATGACGCCGCGAATTTGATACCCGTGTCGTAGCTCATAGCTTTTGCTTAAGAAGTAGGTGCCAGTATGGTTGTGATTTGAAGAACCATACCATGCATGCCACAGCCCAAAGAAGGCAAGACAAGGATCCATTGGAGTTTCAGGATCCATTAGGGATCCACTGAGATGATGATGCTCCCATCCAACTAAAAAAATAATTTTAAAAGTTTACATATCTTGGGAGATGGAGTTATGACAGCCTGAAAAACATATTTGAACCCAGGCCACATGCTTGTATTCTTGATTGACGCCCTATGTAAAGTTTTTACCAGTTTTTTGTGGTCCAATAACCAGGAATTTTGGTAAACGATCACAAGTTTTTTCTTTTGACCAGATATCTCTGTGTCGTTTGTCATCACAAGGATTCTAATGGAGAGAAAAAGCAATTTTATATTAGTTTATGGGTTTTTTTTGTCACTAATCTATATGTTGCACTGAAGAAAATACAGGAGCCAAATGCATCTAGTGAACAATAAATCTTAACTTATGAATCTGTGAAAAATGAAAAATGAATAATGCTATTAATAATATCATCCCTTTATAATTAAAATCTGGATTTATTTTATTTTAATCTAATTATAATCCATGCCTTATTTTTATTATGATGTTAGAACAGTAGGGTTAGGTTAAGGGTTAGGGTTAGGGTTAGGTTAAGGGTTAGGATTAGGTTTAGGGTTAGGTTTAGGATTAGGTTTAGGGGGGTTAGGTTTAGGGGTAAATTTTAGGTTTAGCGTTTACAGCGTGCTTTTTTCTCCGCACTGTTGTCACACTGTGATGATGTCAGCTATGCGGTTTTGTCGAGCGCCTTTTAGTCGAACGCGGTTTTGTGGTGGAACCGTTAGAACTTCCATTTTTGGACATGTCACCTAAGTGGAGCAATGTCAAAGTACCCGGACTGTGTATATTTTAGAAGACTGAAAGTAACACTGCTATTGAAATGCTCTTCATGCATGAAGGTTTCCTTAGCTCAAAGACTTTGTTTAAGATGAATTGTTTTTTTACTATGACTAAGAACGACTAGGGGTGACATGATAGCAGTATTTGACGGGCTGCCCAAAAGAAGACGGGCTCAACTTATTTTCCAAAGCACCAGAAGGCAAAACAAGAAACTAATCAAGGAGAGGAGCAATCTGGAATTAAGGAGAAACTTCCTAACCAGTGGAATAGCTTGCATTCTGATGTTGTGGTTGCTCCAACACTGGAGGCTTCTGAGAAGAGGCTGGACTGTCACTTGTCTAAAATGGCCTAGGACAGTGATGGCTAACCCTTTTCCCATCATGTGCCAAAAGCAGGGGGGATTGTCCGTGCGTGTGCCACACCCATAATTCTATGTGCCCTACCTGTGCACATGCATGCACACACCCCCTTGGGCATACATGTTTGACCCCCCAGCACAAATGTGTGTGGCCCCCACCCCCACCCCTCCCGCTTTTGGTGCACGATGGCATGGTGGACCTGTTTTTCGCCCTCCCCAGGCTCCAGGGGCTTTCTAGGAGCCTAGAGACAGTGTGTCAGGGCTGCTTCACTTAATAACCAAGAAAGAAACCACTCAACTCCATTTTGNTACTAGCGGTTCTGTGGGCATGGCTTGTTAGGCGTGGCAGGGGAAGGATACTGTAAAATCTCCATTTCCTCCCCCACTCCAGGGGGAAGGTTGGTGCAAAATTCTCATTTCCCCCCAATCAGCTGGGACTCAGGAGGCAATTAATAGATGGGTAATATTTATTGGTTCTCCAAACTGCTCAAAATTTCTGCTACTGGTTCTTCACAACTGGTCAGAACCTGCTGAATATCACCTCTGGTGGGAATGGAGATTTTACGGTATCCTTCCCCTGCCATGGCCACCAAGCCATGCCCACAGAACATTAGTAAATAGTAGTAAAAAAATTGAATTCCACCATTGGTCTGAAGTGGCTTTGTGCCAAAACGTGTATGACAAATTGACTCATATTGAGTCAGACCTTGGCATTTTCTAACTGACTCGAACAATATCTTTTTTCTCTCCCCACCCCCTCCCCAGGAACATGTGAAGTGGGTTCATGGCGAAATGCTGTCTCGCAACTCTCAACTCAAGCTTCTTTATGTTACTCCAGAGAAGATAGCAAAAAGCAAGATGTTTATGTCCAAACTAGAAAAGGCTTACCAAACAGGACAGCTGACCCGGATTGCCGTAGACGAAGTCCATTGTTGTAGCCAGTGGGGGCATGACTTCAGACCTGGTATATCTACCCAGGAGAAACTTAATGCAGAGAGGGAGAATTGCTATTTTTTCTCTGCTAGCAATCAAATTGCTGCTTTCTTCACTGTTCTGACCTAGGCTTCCCAAAGCATGAAGCAGACTCCTCATCCCGATAAAACCCCTTTTATTCAGATTAAAGGGAATTCCTCTCTAGCAAAGTCCCGGCAAACAGTCTTTTATGAGAGTTCACAACTACAGACCTTTATCAGGCTTGGAGGCTTTATCAGCCGATAGCTTCCAAACGCCATGCTGTAGCAACAATTACTTGGCAAGAAGTCAGGAACAGATCTTCACTCTAATGAATTGAACTATTAATTGTCTCCTGCAAACTCCCAAGTCTTGGCTTTACTCCCAAGTCAGCCCTTGTTCCTTAACTGTTCCCTTCTCCTGGCAGCTCTGCATATGCACACATCGGGAACAGGCTCCAGCTGTTCTTTCGCCCCACTGATATCCGACTCTGAAGGCAGGTGATAACTGTTGGACACCCATCTCTCCCTCCAACGCAGACCCCTCATCAGAGCCTTCCCCAGACTCCAGGATTGGCCCATGTTCCTCCCCAACCTCCTCACTGTCTGAGTCTGCCACCAGCTCCGCTGACCGCTGGCAGACCACAACATGCACATTTTATCTTTCGCTTAATTGTAGTGGGATTTTTCCACTCAGAAGTAAAATGTTAGCAACATTTTTGGAAATGTTTTTCCACTGCTTCTTCCTAAGGCAGCGAAAGGGACTGGCCCAAAGTCAACCAGCTGGCTTCATGCTTGTGGCGGCACACAAATCACAGCCTCCTGATTTCTAGCTTTGTGCCTTAAACCTCTACATCAAACATGGCCTACTATCAGTGATGTAATGCAACATCTCTGCTCTTTTCTTACACATCCAGATTACAAGTTGCTTGGGATCTTAAAACGACAGTTTCCCAATGCTCCATTGATTGGACTGACTGCCACTGCGACAGGACATGTGCTGCGTGATGCGCAGAACATTCTCTGTGTGTCCAAGTGCATCACCTTCACAGCATCCTTCAACCGGCCCAATCTCTATTACGAGGTATTTTTGTTACATTCGCTCCTTACCCCATTTTAAATGAGTAAAATCTCTTCTAATTTGCCCCTACTTAGATCTGGGAAAATGTTCAGGACTGCTGGAACTCAAGTCTGGAGATCACTCATTTGTCCTTCATTCTGCTTTCATTGCTCTCATTTTATTTACTTAGAACTTTGTTTTAGAACCTTGTTAACTTCAAAATGTGTGGGCTTCAATTCCCAGAATTCTACATGTAGCCAGCCTACTGGGCTGAAGGATTCCGAGAGTTGAAGTCCACCCGTCTTAGTTGCCGAAGCTGAAAAGTACGGACTTAGAACAGATGGCCTCAACTTTCCATACTGAGAGACTGATGTTAATTTTAAATTTATGTAAGGCTCTAATGACTTAAAAGAAAGGATTTCTGAATTCTTTTCTAAAGCACATATATCATTTTAGGTTCGTCAAAAGCCATCATCTGCTCAGAATTGCATTGAGGATATTGTGAAGCTTATCAATGGAAGATACAAAGGCCTTTCAGGTGAGCAGTCTAAAGAATCCCTTCTGAGAATAGGATAGCATCTGTAAGAGATCACCATTGTTAGCCTCTTCCCACACCCTGTTTGAGTACTGAGGACATGCTCAAAACAGAAAATGTGTATTGTTTTGTGAGTGTCAGGTGCATGCATCTCAATTTGCACAAATGCACGCCCACCGTTCACACAAATGGAGCTGCACTAGCAAAGTGGAGCTGTGTAACTATGCACGCTTGCCCACCACTCGGGTGGCCGAACTGAGCCGAGGTCTAGAAGTGGGCATGGCCCCTGGGGGTTGGACACCCCTAGGTTGAATAGCCCTCTCTTTTGCTTCTATTCTGTTACATTAAACAGCCTTACTTATTTTGTTGACACAGGAATTATCTACTGTTTTTCCCAGAAAGATGCTGAGCAAGTTACTATGAATTTACAAAAACTGGGGATTAAAGCAGGTACCTACCACGCAAATATGGATCCCAAAGATAAGAGCAGAGTTCACAAGCGGTGGTGTGCCAACGAAATCCAGGTGGAGTACATCATATAGTAGTTTTTCTGTTCAACTGGGATGACTTAATGTCCTGATTCTGGTCGTCTTTACATTTCAGGTTGTGGTGGCCACTGTTGCTTTCGGCATGGGAATCGATAAGCCAGATGTGAGGTTTGTCATACATCATTCCATGAGTAAATCCATGGAAAATTACTACCAAGAGAGCGGACGTGCAGGTATACTTAAGTGAGAAGCTATTCTAGGCAGGGGTGGTATTCACTTACTTTCCTTACCTGTTCACAAATGTGAGCATGCGCGCTTGCACTTCGCTTGCATGCGCCCCATCCACGCATATGCCCGGCCTTCCGTACATGCACTTTGATCGTGTGCATGGCTTGCATGCATGCGCCCGGCTTGAAAACGTGCCTAAATAGGATGGCATAGAACCGGCGCAGGTGGTGGGTCCACCTGCAATTTCCACTACCGGTTCGAGTGAACCGGTCTGAACTGGCTGAATACCACCTCTGATTTTGGGGAGAGATTTGTGTTTCTTAGCTGCAGGTGAAAATATATCTTTATTTATTTTTTTAAATCACATTTGTTTCAGGTCGGGATGACCAGAGAGCCGATTGCATCTTATATTACGGCTTTGGTGACATATTCAGAATCAGCACTATGGTGGTGATGGAAAATGTGGGACAACAGAAACTGTATGGGATGGTTTCCTACTGTCACGATATGGGAAGGCAAGTGGCTTTCTTCACTGGTGGGACTGACAGATGTTTTCCTATGTTGAAACTACAGGTAGTTTGTGACCTACAACCGTGATTGTGCCCAAGAGTTTTTGGTTTGTAAGTCACGACGGTTGTAAAGTCGGTTACCGTGTACCAGACCTGATTTTATGACTTTTTTTCTTTGCGATGGTGGCTGAGTCAGTGCGGCGGTGTAGTGTGAATGCAGCGGTTGTTAAGCGAATCCATCATATGCTAAAGGACAGGTTTTGCTGGAGACTTAAAGTAAAGGCCAATTTCCAGCAAAAATGTTGCAAGTAAGATCATGTGAATGGGGCACTGTGAACAGCTGTAAGTGAGCCGGTTGCCAAGTGCCCAAAATGCACATGACAATTGAGGAGTATCTGTAGACTCTAAGTCAGGGGTGTCAAACTCAAGGCCCGCGGGCCGAATCCTGCCCATGTGGTGTTTAGATCTGGCCCACGGGCCAGCCCTGAAAACAGCCAGGGAAGCCGAGCTCCATTTTCACTGGCAGCCCGGACAACCGTGCACAGCTGAAAACAAAGCCTTGATGAGTGATGTCGAGCTTCTGCCCCCCTCCTCGCTGCCCAAGGTCAAACACAACCCTGATGCAGCCCTCAATGAAATCGAGTTTGACACCCCTGCAGTAGGTGGTTGAGGACTATCTATAGACAGTAGGTGGTTGTGTGTGTGTAGGCCCACTGATTGCTTCTGACTCTGGTATTTCTGCTGCAGATGCCGCCGAGTCCAGATCGCTCATCACTTTGACGAGGCCTGGGATTCTGCCAGTTGTAATAAAATGTGTGACAACTGCTGCCAAGAAGAGAGTAAGTGAGAGAGCAGGAAAAAGACAATTCAATGAAGACAATTGCTACCTGTTCTGACCGAGGCTTCCCAAGAGCATGAAGACAAAACCCGCTTTTATTAAGTTACTGTGAATTCTGCTCATTACATCCAGCAAAGTCTTCAAGGGAGGGTTTACAGTCACAGGCCTTATCTGGCTTGAAGAGCTGACAGGCCGATATCTGCAAAACTTGGCAAGGAGAGTCACGAACCAATTAAGCAAACTAATTGTCTCCTGCANTCTTCTCATTTGATGGCCAAAATATTTGAGCTTCAGCTTCAATATCAGTCCTTCCAAAGAAGAGTATGGTTGATTTTCTTTAGGATTGAATGTTCGGATCTCTTCCCATCCAAAGAAAACTCAAGACTTCTCTCCAACATCACAATTTGAGAGCATCTATTTTTCAGCGATCAGCCTTCCTTATGACCCAACTCTCACAGCCCTTCATTATTTCTGGGAAAACTGTAGCTTTGACTATAGATCATTCTTTCCCTTCCTTAAATTAAGACGATGTCACGACAATGGCAATTTATGCTGACACCAGTGACATAGTTAGGATCAGGGCATTATACTCCTTAGGGGGTATATCCAGAGGTGGTATTCAGTTGGTTCGGACTGGTTCAACCAAACTGGTAGCGGAAATTGCCGGTGGGCCTGCCCTGGCTCTATGCTGTCCTATTTATGCATCTTTTTAAGGTCAGGTGCATGTGGGGAAGGCACGTGTGAGAGCAAAGCGCATGCGTGGAAGGCCAGATGCATGCGCGGAAGGGGTGTATGTGCCAGTGGTGGGTTCTGGATTCCGTTGCAACTGGTACAGTGCAATGGGACCGGGCGCCCACCACATGAATGCGCCCAGTGTGCGCATGTATACTTACCACCGTGATGCTCCACAATGTCTCCGCGATGCTCCAGCTGCTCAGTGGAGCATTGCATAGGCGCTGTGTGCTCCATGCGCCTGTGCAGAAGCCCCAAAAACTTCAAATACTGGTAAGGAGTGCGGGCAGGTAGGCGGGCCCTCCGGAGCACCTATTGGAACGGTACCTGGTGTGCCCGGCAGGCACCGGTACGCCTGTACCAAAGCGAACCAGTCATAACCCACCACTGGCGTGTGCCCACAAACCAATGGTAATAAAATGTGAAACCCATTGCTGGGTATATCCTTTCCCCAAAGCTACAATTTCTGGATTCTTTCCTCTCTTTTATCACCATTCTCTCTTCTGTCCGGCCCCCATCACAATATCTGGGTGCATACATAAAATGCCTCTTTTCTCTTCGTATCATGGCCTCTGCATCTGATCTAGGAAAGCTTACAACATAATCTGTTCATTGTTCTCTAAGAAGTCTCTTTTCTACATTTTTAACTGGACAGACTAAGGACTGCAAGCTTAGCAGGGTGCCATTGTCTCAACATTTTCATAGCCATCAGATTGTGCAGAGGGGTATTTAATTTGAGATATTGAATAAATAGGTAATAGAAACTCCATCTAACGTTTACTTGTTTTTTTTAAAGATGCCATTAAAAAAGATTTATAGAAAGAACAAAATGTAAAAGATAAATATTGTCAAAGCATTCCATAAATGTAAAATATTGACACTTGCTATAGTAGAGAAGATTTTGCAAAATGGCAATTCATTTGGGACAGTTTGGGTCCTCAGAATAAAAACCACGAGATGTATACTAATTCTGAGAAAGACGATGGACATTCACATTCAGAGGTGACCATTAAATGAGCCAAGGTGGCGCAGTGGTTAAATGCAGCACTGCAGGCTACTGCTAGATCAGCAG